GAAGGGTCCTGACGGTCACAGTGCAGCCACAACCTCTCCCTCCTCTGGGTGGGTCGGAGGAAAACGGAAGGGAGGGAGGTTTGGGGATGCCCCATTTTCCAGGGACCACCCGCACACCGTAAACAGCCGGGCTTTGGCCCAACTAACTGGCTCCGAGCCTAACTCCGGCGGCCTTCCTGAAGGAGGAAGAGGGGAGCCGCGTTTTCCCCAGCCGTTCCGGCTCTGCAGTGTGGGGGGTCGGCGGGGAAGGGGCCAGAGGGCCGGGTGTGCAGACAGCGATCCGGTGCCCGAAAGGACCGATTTCCTGGGCAAGGGATAGGGGTGGGGGGCGTGGCTGGGGCCGCGGGAGCTGCGCTGAGCTGCGGGTCAGGGGTAGGTTACGCCCCACCATGCCCCTGCCCTCGCCTCTGCCGCGCCCCCGCGACCCGAGGCCGCCCCACAGGAAGCCAGCAAAGGACTATTGACGTGGGGACGCCGAGCCATCTTTGCCTGTGGCCAGCGAGGGGGAGGGTTCGCAGCAGGTGCTCGGGAACGCCCTATACCCAATCCCGACTGGGTCTTTTGCCTCGTTCCCCCAGCTGGGGAAAGGTTGGCATGAGGACGCCCCTGGAGTAGAGAGGAAACCTGAGGCAACACGAGCCGGATTCCCAGCTGTTCGCCTCTGCAAACACCGACCCATGGGCCTTATGCTTGCCTGGGAAGGAGGAGGCTGGAGGGAGACTGGACAGAGCCCTTCCATGGCTTTATCCCCCGTGTCTTCACGGCTTCCCACCCCTCCTTGGGCCAGCTCTGATCCTAATTCCCAGGACTAGATCTCATTCGCGCGAATTTAATTTAACCGCCCCTCCCCCGCCATCTGCGCCCCCTGGCGGCCGAGGCCCCCTGACAGACGCGCACGCACCTGTTCCTGCTTCTCCGTCCAACAGCCAAAACAAGGATGCTTCAAACATCCAGGCAGAGCTCAACCTCCGCGCAAAGGCTACGGCCGGCAGAGAGCATAACCACGAATTCCTGGCGCTGTCTGCTCTGGGTGGCAGTTGACTAGGAAGAAAAGCAGTTAGGCCTGCTGGATTCATTTACTGCAAACAGTTCTGCTCTAACACTGAATGTGTACCTTATGCTTGCACTGCACTACAGACCCTTCCAGCTGCTGCTTCCTAGTGTGACTTGCCTGGCTGTTCTTCAGATACCTGCCAGGCAGTGGCTTTGAGAAATGCCATGCAAACGCTACACTTCCAGTGCAAACCCTAAAATCTAAAACGTGGCAGCTCAGTGACAGCAAAGGCAACAGTAATAGATAACTGCCAGTCTCACACCCTAATGCAGGTACCTATGAACTTGGAACTGTCAAGTACATTGTGTGTGCGTGTGGGGAGGGTCGAAGGGGGGGAGAGGCTATTGGTTTGGTTTTTCCATTCTACCACACTCAAATTTTTCTTGACTTTAGCCTGCATTGTAGACCGCTCACTTGTAAACATCCCTCCTTTGTTTCTATACCAGGGTTAAGTCATCCCTAGTAAGTATCTCCTTCCCAGAAACGCAATACAACCTCTCGGTCGTACATCCCAGGAATACCAAAGCATCTAATTACACAGGCTGTACCCATCCTTGTTAAGTGCTTCATAAGGTATAGCTTCAACATTCATTTTCTGTAGCTAACTTTTCCTTCAGAATTTGGATCCCAAATAATTTGCAAAATTGGAAGGTGAAGCTGCAACTCAAGATTTGTAGGCAGTAAAAGTTTCCGTGTGACACAGGGCCAGTCCCTTTAGGACTCTCTCACTGCCTTCACCCTAATCAAAGAACTTCGACCCTGTCTCCTATTCCTACCATTTCTTCTGACCCCAAGGCAGTGATAGAAGTTTGCACAGCAGCCTCATTACTTTGTTTTTGCCAAGATGCATTTCAGGGTGAACATTGCTCTCCACTCTTGTGTAAAATAAGAACATCGGCACAGATGACCTGTGAGTGACCTAGGAACTGCCTGCATAACCATGGTGTGTGCAAGAGCTAAGTTCATAGTTCCTTATGTTAAGAGACTTGCAGGTCACTAGCGTTTCTCCCAATCATACCCCATCTTATTTCTGTAAAGTATTTTCTAATGCTTTCTTATGTTTGAATATAGTGTCTCCTTCCCCCTTACATCAGTTATAAGGCTTTGTTAAGGTCTTAATAGCTTACGTTTTGTTTTTAGCCACGCTCATCTGACACCCTGCTGTCCTCTTTTCTGGAATGTTCTCACCAAAGAGACTGGATAGTCAGTATCAGCAAACTACTTTCTCTCCAAGTCTCCATTTCCCAATGCTCAGCTTTGTCCTCGTGCCCTCCCAAATCGCCCATCCCAAGCCCAGCGGTGAAATCATGGACTGGATCAGTCTTTGCCATCTTCCCCATGCTGCTCACAGTGGTCTGACAGTGCCCCATTCTCAGTAATGTGAAGTAAATGTAAAACATCTCACTAAATGTTCACAAAATGCTCTGCTCCAGCTAAGTACCTAACAGCAATGGCAAGTAGGAACGAGAAAAAAAAAATGCACAAAGCCTTAACATTAGTTTTGGGGTTGGTCAGTAGCAAAGTTTTAGGGATGCTGTGCAGTACTCCTGGTAATAATGCTTTTTTTCTGCAGCACTTAGCACTGAATACTGTGAGATTATTGCTACCAAATGGTCAGTGGAGCCTCAGCCTGTAGGACTGTAATTCCAAGTTCCAAAGAAGAGCAAATGCATGAGAATTTCCTAAGGCCCATAACCTGCAGACTGCCCAGGGAGAAGAGGGGCTACACTCAAACATTCTACAATATTCATACTTTCCCTGATGGGCACCCATTTTTAGCAGCTCACATTAGAAAACAGCCAACTCCATAAACCTAGTAGACTCAAATGACATTAATAAAAATCATCCCAACAATTATAAGCTCTCTAGCCATTAGAAACATAAGCATCAACCAATCAAGTAGTATCAGAATGAGAAAACGACTGATCTGAGAACATTTCAGGTAGCGGGGAAAAATATATATATATAGATATAATATCTATATATATATTTTTAATCAATATGCAATTTTATCTTCAATAGTATAGAAAAATGGGGAGAATTATAGCTCTCACCTGGATTTGCAGTCTGTTTAAAGTAGAGCACCTGAGAGATGTTAGAGAATCACTGAAGATAAATAACCAATCTAACAAGTCTTCACTATGATACCAAAGTGATCCCTGACTACCCTACTAGTAAGCTGATTCTTAGCCAAGAGTACTAACCTCTAAGTGGAGGGCTAGCTGACCCACAGAAATCTCTGAAAGATCTAAATGTAATAGTTACCTTCTTAATGGACCTCACGATTGCCTATCCAATGGATCACTTAAAAGCTTTTTGGGGTGCTTTCTGTTGGATCTTTTCCCTTTTTATATGCAGCTGGATGACATCAGTTTTCCACTTTACTCCTTGAGAGAGCTGCCCCTGATTGCTGAGTGTAAAGATGAGGAATGAAAATCTCTTATACATTAATATACTTAGGGTCAGAAGGAATATCCTAGTCATTTTTCTTTTTTTTTTTTTAAAGAAATACAAAATGAAATGTCCAATTATCTTTGGTACACTCTGACAAAAAATAATGACATTGGTTGGTGGGGTGCAGAGAGAAGAAGAAAGTGAAGGTATCCTGCTCTGTAAGTCAGAGCACCGTCCCACTGCCAGCACGGCCACACTCCGTCACAAAAAGTTCAACTAGTACGCCAAGAGGCCAGGAAGGACTTTAATTTTCTTCTTTTAAAGTTTAAACGGCAACACAACCGTAAAGTTGGTACATCACAGAAACAAAGGTCTTTGCAGGCAACACTGATTGGGAATAGCAAAACACTTGGTTGGTGAAAAAAATGAAACTCTAAATTATATACAATAGTAGCTAAAGGTGATATTGAAAAACAGTCTTATTTACTGTGACTCAAGATTTAACTTGCCATTATCTATTGCTTATTTATTCAGGGTTGCAAATAATACTTATATAGAGACATAGACATGTGTAAAAATGAAACATTGTGAAAAAAATACAATTTTTCAATTTCATATGAAACTCAAAGTATAAGTTTTGTCCAATATGGAATGTACCTACATTTGTTTATATTAGGGCTCTAATATCCATTTAAAAATTCTTTTTCGTTTTTAAAAAAGAAACAGCTGACCCACCATGCAAGTTTGCTGTATATCTTGTTTGCTCAAAATGAGCATTTTCAGGTGAGGTCTGTTTTGTTTGCTCAAAGTCTACTGTGATTCTTTAGAAGTTGTACTGGCCCAATTGTGGAGAGTTTCCATGAAGAGTCTGACGGCAGCATCTGGATGAGGGACAGTCAGGGTAATGGGAAGTGAGTATAGAAGAGGGAGGTAAGAGCCCGAATCCTTATGAAGGATGACATTCAGTTGTTAAATTTTAAGGGGTATCCGATGGCTTTTTCCAGGCACTCAACTAAAGAGCCGGCAGAAAGAAAATCCCTCTCTACTTCCACAAACTTGATGTAGATGGATTTGGGGGACACTCCAGGGTCTACGATACAGTTCTGAGACAAAAACCCATTAATACCAACCCAATCTTTGCTGAAGGTTTTGGTATTTGCTTGGAAGTGTAAAAATAAGCACTGCTGCAGAGTCCTGACCTCAGCAATCCCGAGG